AGACAGAAGTAGTGTTTGTGGGAAGAATGACGAAAGATGTCAATCAAGAGCTAGTGGCGAAGGCAAGCGACATTTTCCGCCAGGATGGTCCAAAAGAATCCAAAAAGTATCTATACAGGAAGTAACAATCCGCTGCTGCAGTAACAAGAAGCTACTAGGGGCTCTTGGCCTTACTACTAGGAGCAAGGACGCTACTAGGGGCTCCTGGCATCGCTACTAGGAGCATTCTTACTATTAGTAACAAGATGTAATCCGCCGACCCCGGCCTAGCCAAAGCCTAGGCGGGGAGGCGCCCGAGACACCGCAGGGTGCAACATTGGCATTGGCATCTCTGCCTCTGCTTTCATGTCCTGGCATTGGCATCTCTACCTCTGCTTCCGTGTCCTGGCACTACCACCAAGCCGTGGGCGGTTCATGTCCTGGCCGAGCCACCACCCCGTGGGCTGTTGGCTTTTTTGAGCCGGGGCCTTGGGAGTGAGCCTCTGGCAATGCCAGGCAACTAGAGCCCTCACTGCGAAGCCCGCTGGTTTGCTGCACGCGTGCACCCCCCTGAAAGCTGTGGCGACACAGATTGGCGGAGCCTTGGGAGTGAGCCTCTGGCAATGCCATTATGGGCTCCCGAAGGCGACGTGCCACGCAACGTGCCAGGCAACGTGCCAGGTGACGTCAGGCATTTTGGTTGGCTGCACCCCCCCCCCGTTCCGACCGCTCTTGTGGGCAGAAATAGATGGTGTCGTTTGCCACCCCGGAAATGCGCCGCTGCGGCTGCATTCTGCCTACACGCACACCTCAGCCGGGAGCCTTGGGACGGAGCCGCTGGCGCACAGATTGCCGGAGCCTTGGGAGTGAGCCTCTAGCAATGCCAGGCAACTGTTTTATGGGCTCCCGAAGGCGACGTGCCAGGCAACGTGCCAGGTGACGTCAGGCATTTTGGTTGGCTGCACCCGCCCCCCGTTCCGACCGCTCTGGTGGGCAGAAATAGATGGTGTCGTTTGCCACCCCGGAAATGCGCCGCAGCGGCTGCATTCTGCCTACGCGCACACCTCAGCCGGCAGCCTTGGGACACAGCCGCTGGCACACACGAGCCAACCCAGCCCGTGGGCTGTTGGCTTTTTGCCACGCGCGCGTGCACCAGATAGCTTAACTTTGCTCAATATAGGCACGCGCACGTTCCCTTGCCGGAGGCCTTCGGTTGGTAACGCCGAAGGTTATATACGCTCGCCGCCCCTGCCGCCGACCCTTTTGTTGGACCGCGTACGTGTCGACCCCGTGTCGACCCCCGCCCGAATCCGGTCGACAGATTTATATGTATCGTGCGCAGGATGTTCAAAAAAATGTTCAAAAACATCGTTGTTTACAGTGTTTCGTGGCCTTCGGCGGACACGACTTTCGCCTAACAGGGCGCCGGTGGTGTCGGTTATGCGTTCCGCGTGGACAGGCTTAATCGACATTTCGTGGGTGTTGGGCACATAAGTTGCCTACCATATCCCCAACCTAGGCCCAAGATAGCCAACATATGCCCAACATAGCCTCCAAGATGGCTCAACATAGGGCCAACGTGGGGCCAACGTGGGGCCAACGTACGCCAACATAGGCCCAACGTAGGCCCAACCTAGGCCAACATCGGCCAACATAGGCCTAACATAGGCCGACCTAGGCCCAACATAGGCTCAACTTGGGCCCAAGATGTGCCCAACATAGACCACATGGGCTCAACTTGGCCCAACCTAGGGCCAAGATGCGCACCAGATAGCTTAACTTTGCTCAATATAGGCCCCACCAAGTCTCAAAGAGAGAGAGAGAGAGAGACAGGACCCAGCCCTGCGCATACCCAAACCCAAATAGGCCGGCGCCCGGCTGTCAGGCGTAAGCCTCATAAATCCGGGCGCCGGCCACAAATGCCCGGAGGGCCTTCGGTGGTAACCGAAGGTAAAAGACGGGCGCGCCCCCTGCCGCCGACCCTCGTCACCAAAACGGGGCGACCACCGGTTCACTGATATCAACGTAATTTACAGTGTTTCGTGTGTGTGAGGTATAAAAAACACTGTGTTTTACAGGGTTTATTGCGCATATCGAAGTACGATGCGGGGAAAAGGGAAAAATGCAAACGTGCTGTGTTTTTCAAGGGTGGTGTCGGTAATGCGGGCCCGGCGGACAGGCTTAATCGACATTTTGTGGGTAGAGGCCCTCCAGACGACGTACATTTCCTAACATATCCTCAACATAGGCCCAAGATAGCCAACATATCCCCAACATATGCCCAACATAGCCTCCAAGATGGCTCAACATAGGGCCAACATAGGCCAACATGGGGCCAACATAGGCCCAACCTCGGCCAACATAGGCCTAACGTAGGGCAACATAGGCTCAACATAGGCTCAACATGGGCCCAAGATGTGCCCAACGTAGATCACATGGGC